CTCCCCCGCCGTTACCTTGGCTGCGGCGCCGCCGGGCCCCGCCCTTCCCCCCGCCCCGCCGGGATGCGGCGCCGCCGGGCCCCGCCCCTCCGCCTCGCCCGACCAATGGGCGGCCGCGCCCCACCGCGCGCCCCGCCCCTCGCCCGGGCGGAGGCCTCCGCCAATCCGCGCCGCCGGGGGGCCGCCCTTTTCACCAATCAGCGGCCGCGGGGCCCACCGGCCCGCGCCTTCCTGCAGGGCCGCGCCCCCGCCGTGGCGCAGCGCCGCCGCCCCGCGCCGCGCGCTCCGGTACCGGGCGCTGCCTCCCCCGGCTGCGGCACCGCCTGGGGCCGCCCCCCAACCCCCACCCCGGGCCTGCCGCAGCCACGAGGCCCCGCCGCCTGCGGTCCTCCTATCAGATCGGCCTGTAGGGCGCGGCGGCGGCGGCTCCGGGCCCCGCGCAGGGACGGCCGCGGTGACCTTGGGCCGCTCCACCTCCGTTCGGCTCCGCGCCGACAACGGGAGAACCGCGCCCGGCACGACCCGGGCCCCTCCTGCCCGGGGCTGGCGGTACAGCGGTTGCCGGGGCGCTGCCCAGCTCGGAGCCCTCCCGCCCCCCAGCCCCCCGCCGGGGGCTGCGTGCTGCTCGGAGCCCCCCCAGCCCTGCGGCACCGGTCCTCGTCCTGAGGCTCGGCCACCACCGGGAGCTGCTGGGGCAAAAGGAGCCCCACCTTCAGCTCAGCGCCCACAGAGCGCCGCACCGCGCCAGCTTTTAGAATTGTGAAGGCAGCTTTGCTCCCTGCACAAGGTCGCGTCCTGCCCCAGACACCTGCAGTGCGTTAAAGCCACGGGGGAGCGGAGCAAAAGCACAAACCCTGAGTTTGCAGCCCTGGGGAAGGAAAGCTCCAGCTCTGCAGCCAGCAGCGAGCCTGGAGGTGAGCAGGGAGTGAAGGTTCCAGACAAAGACACCAAAAATAAGCAGCTGTGGGCAGCACCATCCCTACAGCCTGTGGAGTTTCCTCACTCCCTGCACCTGATGGTGCCACCAGGGCTGCCCTCCGAGCCGGGCTGTGGGGCAGCAGGCAGGGAATGTGAGTGGGGGAGGAGGGGAGAGGGCAGAGCCCAAGTGCTCCAACATGGGGACAGCACGGCCAAGGAGCAGCTGGAAGGGAACGGCCACACACGTGGCCGTACAGGAAGCAAGTCAAAGTCCTCCCTCCTTCCACACACAGGAATTACCTCTCAGTTATCAGGCCAGGAGCCAGACATGTGAACGTTTGCGTTGCGCTGCCAGTTCCTCCCATCGCCTCAGCGACTCCTCCACACTCACACATCCTACAGCAGCGCTGCTCAACCACAGCAAAGCTCAACCCAAACCAACCACCACCATCGTCCCTCCTGCCTGCACGTGTTCAACTGCTCTCCTTCCGTGGTTTCCTGCCTCCTGCTGTGCTAAAACCATGTGACAAAGCTCGAGGCGCCCACAGGGGATGGCAGCAATGGGCTGCATCCCAACCCGGCTCCTCACCGAGCTCAGAAAGTGAGACAACAGCAGCAACACTGGGAGTGCCCAACAGAGCCAAGCAGCACCAACACCCACACGTGGCTGGGGAGATATCGAGGCTGAACAGGCCGTGACAAAGAGACCAGTGCCAAAAAGGAGGGGAAAAAAAAAAAAACCAACAAAAAATACCAGGAGCTCCTAGCAGGGACCGATTGCATCACAACATCTGAAAGGTTATGCTCAGACAGACAGAAAAAATAAACCACTTTCCAGTTCACCTCTCCCCACCCCTCTCTGATGAAAACCAAGCTATAAACGTCTCAGCTGGATGAACTCCAGAGCCAAGTAACCCAACCACCCCGCTGACACCTGGGATGAGGCTGTTACCCAATGCCTGTGTTTATTTCCCAGCGTTATTTTATGGGTTTCACAACACAAAGCTTTGTGCACACGCTGAAACGCCGACCCCAGCCCCTTCCCCACCTTTCAGTATCGCTTTCAAACCAAGAATACAGCAAACAAAAGTGGAAAAGCACCCTGAGCGTACAGCAAGCACTCAGGAGCACGCTGTGCTTCGGCCTCATGCCATTCCCATGGCCACGTGCTCGTCACACAGCACACACAAAACACCACTCACATTGATAGCCAGCAAAGAAGCCAACGTCAGGCTGTCCCCCAAGCCAAGAAATAAGAAGGAGCCGCCTACCTCTTTGGTCAGGTCCCCGTTCACTGGGGCAGCCACAGCTCCCAGGTCCTCCAGCTCTTCCCCAAAGCCCTGCTCAGCCCCGTTCTCCCTCACAGCACCATCAGGACCGTTCCCATCCTGCAGACCACCGCCGTTCTCGAGGGCGATGCCAGCGCTGGGCTGGGTGCCGGACACGGAGCCTTCGGGGTCACGATGCACCAACCAGGCACTGACTTCAGTGCTGGGCACTTGAAATCTGTCCAGTGCCCTCACCTGGTTAAGCAGCCTGCGAGCAGTGAAGTAATAGTCCAGGTCTACGCTCTTTGGGTGGATGCCATACCCGTCCAAGGTGTTGCGGAGGTTGTGAAATTGGGTCTGGGTGTACGCAGAACTCTGGCCAAGAATGATCTCTCGGAGAGGAGGGAGCTGGGAGTTCAGGTAGGTGTCCACGTCCACGCGAACGCCGATCAGGCTGAGCAGGATGGTGAACTGGATGAGGCCTTCCGTGAAGTATTTCTTCAGAGAAAGCATTTCTGGAAGAGAAGAAAAGAGGTGGAAGGTTAGGAAAACAAAACAAAACAAAACAAAAAAAAACCCCAACAAAACAACCAACAAGGAGCCAGCAGGTGGATTCAGCTCACAACAAGTCGCTCGGGTCACTCCTTCCCCTGCCCCACTTTTAAACAAAATAAAGCCACGCTTTCAGACACAAAACAACACTTCCAGGGTCGGAGTCACAGCACAGCACCGCGATAAAACTTCCCAGTGGGAATCCCTTCGGCTCGGGGACAAATCCAGCTTTCCTTTCCAGCTCCAAACCCTCCGGATCCCACCTCAGCGTCCCCACAACCCCCCCACAACCCCCCTTTTCCCATCTCCCCACGCAGCCCCGCTCCCCCCACTTACTGCCCGCGGTGCCCACATGCAGCAGTCGGGACGCTCCGTCCCGCTCCCCTCCGTTCGCTGCGGAGCTCCGTGCGGGGCAGATCCGAAGTTACCGAGCTGCGCTTCGGGACCTTTCCGGAGCTGAAACCGAACCGGGGGGGAGCTGAGGAAACGTGGAAGGCCCCGCCCGGCCGGTGCACGGAGCCGCCCCGCCCCGCGCTATTCTTAGGCCGTTGCGTCAACTTCACCACGAGGGGCTCCCGCCGCCGCCGCCCCCCCCCCACAGCCGCCGCCGCCCCCCTCCAGGCCCCGCCGATCTCTGCCCGCAGCGCGGCGGCCCCGCGTGAGGCCCCGCCGGGCCCGGCCTCCCCCGCCGCCCCGCCCCGGGCCCTTTAAGGCGCCCTCAGGCCTCGTGACGCTGCCCCGCGTTCCGTCCGCGCCGCCGGCCCCGCCCGCCGCTACCCGCTCGCCGCCGCCGATCGCTCCCAGCCGCCCCGCCGCCGCCGCCGGCCCCGCTCCCGCCCCGGCCGACCGCCCCCCCTCCCTCCTTCACACCTCCTCCAATCGGCACCCGCCCCTGGGAGGCGGGACGAAGCGGTCGGCCAATAGGAGGTGGCGCGGAGGAGACGCTCCCGCCTCCGTCGCCGTGAGGATGGGCAGGCGGAGAGACCAATCGGAGAGCGGGGAGAGAGGCTTGTACATAGAGCTGAGCCCGGCGGACCAATCGGAGAGGAAAAACCGGCACAACGGCACCGCCCTCCGCGTGGATGAATGACGGGCGGCTAGCCCAATGGAGCGCGAGACCCTAACCGAACGACAGCTCCAACTACCAATGAAACGACGCACAGGAACCAGCCGCCCGTCCGGAAACTTGAGTGACTGCAGCTTGCACCAATCCCGACAGAGCGCGGGCTCCGCCCCTTCTCCTCACAGCGGTTGCCATGGCACCGAGCGCCCCAGGCCCACAGCGCAGGGCGAGGCCCGGGGCCTTTCGGCACCGCCGGCGTCTCCCCCGGGGACCTCGGGCTCCTCGGCAGCCACCGGCGAGGCCTGCGGTGCGGACGCGGCTCCCCGAGGCCCGGCCCGTGTTGGCACAGCGCTCCGCAGGTGGAAGGCCGAGGGCTGCGGTGAGTCAGGGCCGCGTTTTGGGCCAACGCAAAGCCTCGCGCTTCCCTTTCCTCATTACTCCGTTCCTCGCTAATTAAAGTCTTTAATTCCGCGCACCGACAGCTGCCCAGGCGGAACGATCCCTGCCTGCGATGCCTGCTTTGTTTTTGGGGGTGAGAACGGGCCCCTCCCCATCTCACAGCGTCGGAGGCCTCACGCAGCATCAGCTCGCACAGCTGCAGCAAAAAGACGACGACCTCATCCTCACCTGCACCCCGCAGCCCTATGGGACGTCCCGACAGAACCCTCAGCCGACAGCGGGCTGGAAATTGATCAAAGAAACGAACACGGAGCCGGTATTATAAAGCCCTGCTGCCTTCGGGGTGGTTCCGTCCCCGTCGCTGGGGTGGCAGCCGGGCAGCACCGCCCCTGCTCTGCTATTTCTGCCACGCTTGCAGCTGCCCAGAGCAGCAGCCAAAAGCAGACGCCCGCGTCCTGCCCCAGAAACAAACAGGATGCCAGAGACAACAGTTCATCTGAAAATGTAGCATGTGAGCTCAGGCTTCAATGCCCAACTGCAGCCATCTGCTGGGTGGCAATAGCTGGGCTTCAGGCAGGGGCTAACGCAGCCCTGCTGTGGCTGTGAGCAGTGAGCGCCTGTGGCTGGGTGATGTTATCCAGCAGTGGGGCCCTTTTTCACAGCTCGGTGTTGTCACTGGCAAAAAGTTCCCTCAAGCAGAGCTGGGAGCCGAGAGACAAGCAGCACAGACCCCCCCCAAAGCAGGACTGTCCCAATTACAGAACATCCCTACCTGGGAGCAGTGCACGAAGCACGGGATGAAGACCAGACGGGGTGGCAGCAATGGATCCAAGCAGCTCGGTGGCATGGACTCGCTCTGCCCCAGCCTCACTAATCTGCAAAACAACCAGCAAACACCTACGAAAGCTGGGGTGCGGCCCCAGCCCACGTCGTGCTGCAAGCCACAATCCGATGAGGTAATGGTGGCAGGCAAGGAGGGCACAGCCTCACAGCAAGAGCACACCAAACCCTACAGCTGCTATAGGCTCCCAGTGGGGCTGGAGAGCACGAGGACAACGCTGTGCCCTGTGGGGAACAGGAGTGCATCAGAGAGGCTTGAAACCCCTCCTCGTGCCTCCCCATGGGATGGGGGTGGGCAGTGGGGGCCAAGGGTGCTGTCAGCAGCAACTTGAGCTGCCTGCCCCCAGCTGGGATATTTTTAGCCCCTCCTCAGCAATGGGGGTTTGTTCTGTGTTGGGCATTAAGGCGCATTGATGCACTGGTGGCATTTGTCCTGCACAAGGCTGCACCCAGGGGTGAAAGGACGCAGACACCCTCCTTGCCATTGCCCCCCTGCAGCCCCTCTCCAGCTCCTACCCTCAGCATTAATAAGTCCTTAAGCACTAATGAAGGAGAATGGCCCAAAAGCCACCAGGCTGCACCTGGGCCTCCCCCAAACCCCTCTGCTCTGTCCCAATTAAAGCTTCTATGTCAATTAAAGCCTCTGTGCCAATTAAAGCCTCTGCATCAGCTCAGTCTCCTCTCCCAACAGCTGTGCTGGGGCCCAGGGGTGCCTCCAGCTGGGGCTCAGCCATGGAGGTCACCATTCCACACCAAACCTTTGAGGCAATGGTGACATCTGTGACATGAGCATCAAGCCACCCTCTGTAGGTGTACGACTACAGGTCGTGACCCTCATCTCGTCACAGCACAAAGCTGGTGGGACACCACGGGACCCCCAGAGGGTCCTAAAAGAGGCCGTGAGCCCAATGAGGTGGGCGCTTGCAACCCTGTGAACCCTGGGCCACCCACCCATGTGTGCCCACACCTACAGGGCTGTAGGATCACAGGGTGGACACGGTTACACTGCATCACCCCAATCACGGAGAGTCCCCCCACCCCCAATAGCTGCTCCGCGGAGGGGCTGTTTTGCATAGCCCCGCCCCCCGCCGTACACACACCTTATATGGCACGTGACCACGCCCCCTTTACATTTAGCCCCGCCCCCAGCCGAATTCGCACTCATCGCTCCGTTCGCAGTCCTGCAGCGCCCCCTGCCGGTGGCACGGCGCAGTGCGGGGGGCTCTGAACCACGCCTCCCTCCGGGGGGCGGGGGGAGAACGGGGGGTGGGGGACAAAGAGGGGACAAAGCGACGGCGCTGCCGCCCGGGGTGTCACATCCGTCCCTGGTGCAGCTGTCGCCGCGTTGGGCATTGTTCTAAGGAGGAGAATTAGAGCCCCTTCAAGCAGCTGCGCCACAAATAAGGGGGGGGGGGGGGGGGGGGGGGGGGTTGTGAGCAACGTAGAGCAGATGGGCAGCCCGGGGAATTGGGAATTAAAGCCACCCCCCACCACCACCACCCCGGCACGGGACCCGGCTGGAGCCCAGAGCTCTGCACGTCGCCTCCCCCCCATTGACTCCCGCCCAAAAGGGGCGCGGGGGCCAATAGACTGCTGGTGGGGAGGGGGGGGGAGTGGTCAGGGGGTGACGCCCATGGGTGTGGAAGTCCGCCCCGAAGGTGCTGGGGGGGGAGTTCGGCCACCCCTTGTCCTGTGCAGCCCAATGGTGGTAGGGGCGAAGCTCTGCCTTCCCCCTCCCATCTGCCGGGGGCCGTTGGGGGGGGGATGTTGGGGGCAGAGGGTCGTGGTGGTGATTAATGGGGACCATCGCTCACTGTCCATAGGGGTGCGTGGCCCCCCCGCCCCACCCTGCCATAACGAGCGGGAGGAATAATGAGCGATGTCACTCCACTTTTCATCGTGATGGAAAGTCATTACCGGAGTCACCGCTGGCGACAACGAGCCATGAATCAACCGCTCTGCTATGAAATTAAAATCGAATTGCCCACCCTCGCCCCCACCTCCCAGCTCCAGGGAGGGCTGCACAGCTCGGGGGGGGGGGGGTCATCTCTGGGCTGGGGGCTCCTCTCCTCCCAGCACTGAGCCTCTGGATGCAGCACAAGAGATGCACAGGGAACAGCTGCAGCTTTATTCAGCAGCGCCCAGCCCCAGGCTGAAGCCACGTTACCATGGTGGGGTGGGAGGGGGTGGGGGGGCAGCAGGACCTCACTGGAGGTTCCAGCTCACAGTGAGACCCCCATCAGGTGCACCGGGCGCCCACCGTAGCGCTTGGAGATGTCAGCTTCGATCTGCAAGAGAAAGTCCAAGGTGAGGGGAGGGCGTGCAGCAGGGGAGGGGCCAGGGGCAGCCCTGCTTGGACCCCCACCAGCTGCTGCAGCTCCCGGGTCCGCTCCTGCAGGCGGTCCAGCTTGGGCTCCAGCACACCCTGCTCTGTCAGAGCCTCGTGCCGCTTCCGACTCAGTGCCTCCCGTTTGGCCAGCAGCAGCTCTGCTTGGTTCAGTTTCTGCTGCAGCATCTCACTGACACGGTCCACATACCTGCAAACAGGGAGAGCAGCCCCTGCTTCACCTCCAGGGTCCTCCCAGTCTGTCCTCCCCAGCCCTCCAGTCCCCCAGGTTTTCCCAGTGAGGTGACCTGGGGGAGGCGAGGATGATGAAGAGATGCTGCATGCGGCGGGTGCTCAGCTGATCCAGCAGTGCCCTGGTGCTGGCCAGCAGTGTGCCCACACGGGTGCTGGTCTGGCCCTGCAGAACAGCGGGGGCCAGCTGGAACTGGCTGGCAGCCAGGACATCGGCCTCCTCCTCCATCTCCACCAAGCGCTGTGCCAGGAACAGCTCCAGCTGTGGGGAAAAGGACGCTGTGTGAGGGAAGTGGGGTGGGGACACCCAGAACCCACCTTACACGGGGAGGGTGCCTGAGCTGCCCAAGCGTTGCTCACCTCCATGAGCTCATCAATGAATTGGTTCCGTGTTGCAGCATTCTCCAGCAGTGTCAGGGCATCGGAGCCACGGGCAACTGCCTCGGGTTCTGGGGAATGAATGGGGTCAGCAGGGAAGGGAACTCTGTGCTCTCCGCACACTGGAACCCGCCTTGTGACCATGCTCACCCTCAGAGCCATCCTCCAACACTGTAATCTGTGCCCCATTGCTTTCACCATCGCCCCAGTCAATGTCATTGTCCTGCAATGAAAGAGAGGGTGGCTGGTGACTGGAGGGCACCTGCAACACTCCCAGGACCCCAGCCCCAGGCCGGGCCCCAGGAGCAAGCAGCCAGCACTCACCTGAGGGCTGGGCTCCA